GGCGCTGCAGCTCTTGACCTTCTGGGTCCTCTTGGGAATCTACCTGGCTGCCCTCCTGGCTAATGACCTCATCATCATCACTGTAGCCTGTGACCACCACCTCCACACTCCCATGTACTTCTTCCTCCTCAATTTCTCCCTCCTTGACCTGGGCTCCATCTCCACAACTGTCACCAAAGCCATGGCCAATTCCCTGTGGAACACCAGGGACATCTCCTACTTGGGATGTGCTGCACAGGTCTTTCTGTTTTCTTTGTTACTTGGGGCAGAGTGTTGTCTCCTTACTGTAATCTCCTATGACTGCTACGTTGCCATCTGCAAACCCCTGCACTACGGGACCCTCCTGGGCAGCAGAACTTGTGCCCACATGGCAGCAGCTGCCTGGGCCAGTGGGTTTCTGAACTCTCTCTTACAAACCACCAATACATTTTTACTGCCCCTCTGCCACGGCAATGCCCTGGACCAGTTCTTCTGTGAAATCCCTCAGATCCTCAAGCTCTCCTGCTCACACTCCTACCTCAGGGAAGTTGGACTTCTCATAGTTATGGCATTTTACTCTTTGGTTGTTTTGTGTTCATTGTGGTGTCGTATGTGCACATCTTCAGGGCTGTGCTGAGGATCCCCTCTGAGCAGGGACAGCACAAAGCCTTTTCTACGTGCCTCCCCCACCTAGCTGTGGTCTCCCTGTTTCTAAGCACGGCCATGTTTGCCCACCTGAAGCCCCCCTCCATCTCCTCTCCAGTTCTAGACTTTGCAGTGCTGTACTCAGTGGTTCCTCCAGTAATGAATCCTCTCATCTACAGCATGAGGAACAAGGAGCTCAAGGATTCCCTACAGAAACTGGCCCGTTGGATAGTGTTTCACTGACAATGACCTGTTTCGCTTCCCTGCACATTTCCCAGAGTTTATCTTAGGACAGAAGTCTGCTTTTTTCCCTTGTGACAGTTCTGCTTATAGATGTTTTTCCGGATTTATACTACTTGTCTTTAGGCTTGATCCTATTGTGTCTGACTCTTGCATAACACTGTGTCAGACGTGGCCTGTCAGAGAGCCACTGTTCAATAAAAATGGATCTCCCAGGTGCAGTGCCTGAAGATGGGGCTCTGATTCTCTATGCATCCAGACTGCAATTTCTAGCGTGGGAGGAAGAATACTGAGGGAAACCATGAAAGAGTTTTGCTGAAGCTGACGTAAATGACATCCACTTTTTATCTCCTCATGCTCAATGCAGGCTACCAGGTTGGTGAGGCACAATTTACCCTTGGCAAGTCCATGTTGACAGTTCCTCTCTTTTCGGTGCCCAGAAATATCACCCAAAATGACTCTAATTAATGTCACACTCTGCACCAATGTGAGCTTCTACAGCCTGGGGTTCCCTGGGTGGCACTTTTGGCCTTTTTCAAAGATGGCTGCAACACCTGCTTGTCCTCTCTCACAAGAGACCGCTGCCAATCCTAATTGAAAAGGGATATTCCAAAGAAATATTCATTTTCCCCACTAAGTTCATGACCACTGTTGTGCCTGTTTTACCACGTGCTTAATTTCTCTCTAATCTTTCCTATATTTGTACCTGTCCAGGATATGATGACCATTTCTCCAGTCACCTTTTTAGCAGACTGTCTGGGCAAAGGCCTTTTCCATTTTTTTGTCCAGTTTTATTCTTCTCTTATTCTTTGTTCATTCAGATGCCTCTCAGCAATTCTGGTACTTTGAGCTTCGGGGGTAAAAGCTCGCCTGTCCTTCCCCCATCTAATTGTCTCCTTTGCCAATTCTTTCATTGTGTTTATGTCTGTCTTTTTGTATCCTACCTAAAATATTTCTCACAAGATTATGCCTTGTAGAAAGGCAAACTCATTAGGTTGTACATAGGTTTGTACTTAGCATAAGATGGAGGAGTGCGTTTTATTGTTTACGAAACTTTGTCACGCTTTACTGCACTTTGCTTGCAAAGAGGAAAAATCCTTCTGTGCCTGTCTGCAGCCAGTACCCGGAGGAAAACAGGTGGGAGATGGTGCAAAGGAGCTGTAACATCCAGCTGCAGAGATCAGTGGAAAAGTCTGATGTAAGGAAAAGTGATGCAAGTCCCAGGGGGACAGTGAGAGAAATGGTGGGGTTGGGAGGTGAGGAGTAAGCCTGTCCATACAGTGTCAGACCTCAAGGAACTGCTTGTCCTAGTGGTCCACAACTCCTCAGGAGACACCAGAGTGATCATTATCACTTGGCGAATGCTGCTGTAACCTCTTCTCTAAACTAAAAAGAATGAAACTTTGCATTTAAAATAAAAAAAAAAAAAATTTATTAGGTGCCTTTTGAAGTCTTCCTCCTTAACTACACCATGAAAGAGCTCCAATTAGTGATACAAGACTTGAAGAAAATTAAAAGATAAAGAGCTCATTAAGATAAAGGGCATTTGAGGCTCATTACATGAACCTCAGGTACTGAGAGAAGACTGAACAAACCTCTCAACAAGTCCAAGTCAGAAGCAGAACCCAAAGTTCCTTGAAGC